TAGCCTTTTATTTTGTTATGAACACATGTATAAACTGACAGCCGGAAAAATTACGCCACCTGACTGCCTCGCGTTTTGAGGGCGTAATTATCACAGGTCATGTTTTATGTCTGTGTCAACATTCCATATATATTTTCATATTTAAGTATAATCGGCGTCAATCTCTATGCTTGTGCGGCTGCAACAATTTCTATTTCTGGATTTTGCCGTCGAGTGCGCCAAGCGGCTGCGATCATTGAAATGTTGCAGGTGAAAGTTTTTGCTTGTTTCTTTCTTGATTCTGGCAATGAGTTGTATCTTTGGATTGAAGATCATTGAAGTTCTAATGGTGATGAATGGTGAGTTGTTATGTTTTTGAAGATGAATGCAGAAAAAGCACTAAAAGGAGAATTTTGGGGGACGCGAATTCTAAATGATGGCGTTACCCAGAATCCATACTTCTTACCCTTCAAGTATATCCACTCAGAGGATTTGCTTTTTTTTTGTTCGCCCAAGAGGACAAAACCTAACAACTCACCCATCTGTCATAACTGGGGAGAAAAAAAAGCGAAATTTTTACTTCTCACATTTTTAATGACCGCTGTTGCTTAGCACGCTCTATGGCGAAACCCGTAGAATCAAATTGTTGTGCAGTCACACAAGCGAGTAGAAATTTGACGCCGACTTAATAACCTTAGTTTGTTGCAAATCGCATAATATGCACAAATTTTTTAAAAAGGAATCTGGAGTTGATGCTGAATTAATGTTATTACAAATTGTCTTTTATGAAGAGAAAACAAGCACATGTCTTATAAAATGCTCACATACTCCATTCGCGGCTTTTGTCGGCATTCTATCAATGCGTGAATATGGCGAAGGTCTCCTTTCAAGAGAACAACAGATGTGTCCATGTACCAAACGACTTCAAAATCTCGAAGGGCCTCCTTAACTGCACTTTGATTACGAAAAATCATAATAGGTATTGAGAAAACTAAATAATAATGGGCATAAAAGCTCTATAAGTTATAAATAATACAGTAAGCGATTACAATTAATGAGCATTTTGAGATCACATTAGACGT